CAGGGGCTACCACAGAGAAGTCCCGACTTCAGGGCCCCGCTAATCAGAGTTCTTTTATTGAGGGGGTCTGAAGCATGCCCTCTCTGTGTGATCGGGTGGGACGGGTTGAAGTCATAGGGGAGAGGCGGTCCCTTAGGTAACCTGGTCCCATCCCATGTAGGGCTTTAAAGGTATAACCAACACCTTGAATTGGACCCGGAAGCAAACTGGTACCCAATGCAGCTTGCGGAGCAGGGGTGTTACATGGGCCCTCCTTGGGGCTCCAAAAATAGCCTGTGCAGCTGCATTCTGGACCAGCTGTAGCTTCCGAATACTCTTCAAGGATAGCCCCATGTAGAGTGCATTGCAGTAGTCTGTCTGGGAGAGAACAAGGGCATGAGTGACTCTTCGAAGGGAATCCTGATCTGGGAAGGTTGTGCAAAGGCCCTCCTTGCCACAGCTGCCACCTGCTCTTCAAGCAGGAGCTGTGAGTCTAGGAGGACCCCCAGATTACGCACTGGGTTTGTCTGAGGCAGTGCTACCCCGTCCAGCACCAAAGATGACAGAGTCCCATATACAGAGGAGCCATTAACCCACAGCCACTCCATCTTACCAGAGTTCAGCTGAAGCCTGTTGTTCCCCATCCAGACCCTTACAGCTTCTAGGCACCGCGAAAGGGCGGTCACGGCATCACTTACTTCACCTGGGATGGAGATGTATAATTGAGTATCATCTGTATATTAATGATACCTCATCCCATGATGGCGGATGATCTTGCCCAGTGGTTTCATGTAGATGTTAAAAAGGAGTGGGGAGAGAACCGAACCCTGCGGCACCCCACAAAGGAGGGACTGAGGATGGGACCTCTCGCTCCCTATCACCACCGATTGGGATTGGCTCTGAAGAAAGGAGGTGAACCAGCACAATACTGTGCGGCCCACCCCCAATTCCCTGAGTCGTCCCAACAGAATACGGTGTTGAAAGCCGCTGAGAGATCAAGGAGAGCAAGGATGGACGCACTTCCACCATCCCGCTCCCGCCAGAGATCATCCATAAGTGCGACCAATGCCATTTCTGTTCCATAACCGGGCCTAAAACCTGACTGGAAGGGATCCAGATAATCCGTTTCCTCCAGAACTCTTATATAGTACCACCATTTGTAATAGATTAATGCAAATGTACAATTGCATTTATTGACTTTTAGAAAAAAAATAAGGAAAAATATTTATACTGCAGCTTTCTAATCAAGTGCCACTGTTAGCTAGTTTGGATTATAATGTATCAAAGATGAATATAGTTAATAAAGTAAAAATTATAATTTCAGTGATTATGCAATTTTATGTATACAATGTGTTACAATACAGAATTTCAGGTTAAAAACATAATGTAAACATTCTTCACTGCAGGTAAGCCCTGAGGAAACTCAAGAAGAAAATTTTGGTTCTGAGCATTCAGCATCACCTTCACAAGACAGTAGTCACCAACAGTTTTTAGAAGTGGAAACAAAGCTTGACAATTCAATGGATGTTCAACAACAGGTAAAATTCAATATTTCTATATAAATTATGAATTTAGTAGATCACAAAGTTGTAAAATAAAGGCTATACACTATCTGTAGTCAGAATTCTCCTGAACAGCTATATACTGTGAACATAGATAATTAACATTAGTTTTGACATCATAATAACTTGGAGAGCAGTATGCTCTGTCCATGAGCACAGTAAGTGTACACCAAGATATTCTGAGTAAGAGGTTTCTCCTAGAGCGTATGGGTGTATTCAGAAATATATCAGAAAAGAAGTGCTCCATAAGCAAATCTGAAGATTGTATTTTGTGCATATAGATAAGAACAAATATATTTTCCAATCTGTTAGTATCTCATTTCCTCTATATTTAGGACATGGATATAGATGAAGCCCAAGAGGTTGTAGAACAAGAAGTCTTCGAGCAAGAAGAAAAGAAACCAGCAGTTCTTTCAAGATCACGAACACGCTCAAGATCACGTTCAAGGTTTTTGTAACTTTATTAATCCAGCAGGCATATTTGTCTTAATGCTTAAAACCCAAATTTTGTTTTTCTTATGGAATGCTATGTTTTCCATTAACATAATTTAACTGATGATTTTATAGGTCACCAAGAAAAAGAAGGTCAAGATCACGGTCTGGTTCTCGAAAGCGTAAACACAGGAAGCGTTCACGTTCTAGATCAAGAGAAAGAAAGAGGAAGTCTTCGAGATCATACTCAAGTGAAAGAAGAGCTAGAGAAAGGGAAAAAGAACGACAGAAAAAAGGGTTACCTCCTATACGATCAAAAACACTAAGTGGTAGGTATTACCTGGTTTCAGTTTGCAATTTCTAATAACAAAATAAACAGTGCATGCGATCAGCCAATCACAAAAGGCTTTATTTTATTATCTTTCTGGACATTTTCTGAATTATTTGTAGTACATTTTCATTCTGGTCTGAGAATCTCAGCGTCTGTATTACGTTTCATTAAAGTTGCATTATCACTCCTGAAATTGTTCTTTGGATAAATTTCAGCATGCTACACTGTAGTAGGCAGGGCAGTTTGACTTCTGAGATTACACTTTATAGCAAGGGTTCCCAGGGGGTGCGAGATGGAGTTTCAGGGTGTGCAACAATTTTATGCTCTATAAATCTTTATGGGGTGCAACAATTATATAATCTGTAATTTTTTTTTTAAGTTCAATTTGTTCACCCACATTAGAAACTAGACTTCTTCATCTTCTAATATAATACTACTTTTGTAGGGGGTGCGAACATTAATCAAATGTTTCCTAGAGCTGTGGGGCATAGACAAGTTTGGGAACCACAGCTTTATAGAATCTAGAATCTATATAGATTCTAGAATATAGAATCTATAAAGCAGGGAGGAATTGGAGAGGCAGAACTAAGCAAGGTGTTATTACTAACCTTAAAGACCATTTGCAGACAATGTCATAATACTTGAGGAAGTATAGGAGTACCAATCCATATAAATAGCTTTAGGGAAAATCAAATATATTTCATTCGCTTCTCCCCCCCCCCACGCAAAAAATCTTCCCCCACTGTAGCTATCCTAATCAGGATTGTTACTTCTTTGCCAGTAACTGAGAGAAGAAAATGACAGTTGTATCTTTAGAGACCATGTCTTCATGGGTCTTCTGGAGAAAGGATGTTAAAACCCTCTTACAGTGATCCAGATCAAGGTGGTTTTGGTTCCTGCCACCCCAGCTGATGGGCAGTCTCCTGAATAGTACTGTTAAATTTGGTGAGACTCCCTGGGTTTCTGAAGCAACCTAGAGAACAACTAAGAGCTGCTCACTATTTCTGGGCCTCAAGTTGTTGATGTGTGCCAAAAAGGTAGAAGAATGTTTTATTATGGAATAAATATTCTTCAGATTACATTTGAAATTTTCTAGGTTTAGTTATTTGTCCATTTCTATCCATTTTGTTAGTTTGTCTGCACAGAATTAATATTTTAATAATATACGCACAGTTAATTTAATACATACACACAAAATTTTTGCCCAAAAATTTGTGAAAGATTTGATATAAATGTATGTTGTTTTTATTGCAGTAATCCATGTTTTGTTAAGATAACATTTAATATTAATTAAAACACTTTTTAAAATATATTGCATTACATATTGCAAGAAGCTGAATAAATCTCTCTGCAGTTGCTCATATTAATTAAATATTCAGTGGTATGTCCATTATAGCTTTCCATGTTCTTCTAGATAATTTTGCCATTTTTTTCTGGGGTGGGGGGTTGTATTCTTTTTTCCATAACTTGTTGGAGAAGCCTCAAGAAGAGACTGGAAGTTGATAAATTGCCACTCCTTCATGGGATCACCTCCTAATTAAAACATAATTCTGTTCGAGTATTGAGTATCACTCCTTTGTTAATCACTGCATTAGTTATAGTAACTGGATCTACATTATTTCTGTATTCTTAACTCACCACATCTCCACTTTTTTTAATGTGCATTAGAATATTTTTGTTTATATGTATCTGTCATAAGCAGTCAGTGTCTCAGGATTTTGTTATCCTGCTATTTGCTTCTTGGAAGCTTGTTGAAACTCACTTAAGGCTCTCTGTTTCCATTGCTTTAAATTAAATAATTGTATTGATTTCTACATATGGGCAAGATATAAATTGTTTCAGCTTTCACTCTGTGACAGTAAATGATTGCAGTTTTAATGATGATAAGTGACAAATTATATAAATAAAATATAAAACTTGGTCATTATAACTTGTCATGGCAGTCTGCAGTACCACGCTTTGGGTTGGTCAAGTGGACAAGAAGGCCACTCAGCAAGATTTAACCAATTTATTTGAAGAATTTGGACAAATAGAATCCATAAACGTAAGTAAAATAATCTGTAACTTTAAAAAAGAATGTTAATTTTGAGTTTTCATATACTCTTTACTTTAAATAAGAGGAAGCTGTATATTATTTACTTTAAGTAAGAGTACCTAGAGTTTGTGTGGCTGGATCCAGAGAAATATAAATAAAGTATGCTCACACAACAATATATTTTTTGTTACTCCATTTGTGCCACTTGAAACATTCCTTCTGAATTTCAAAAAATCATTTAGAATACCATGGGGTGTGACATAAAAGAATATAAGAATGAATATAAATTGGGGTTGCTGATACTCCATTCCTGCAATGGATGTTTCTGAAACTCAATCATTAATTTCTGTTTTAATTTTACTTGTTTGTTTTGGTTTTGTTTTATAGATGATCCCTCCCAGAGGTTGTGCTTATGTCTGTATGGTGCATAGGCAAGATGCTTATCGTGCTCTTCAGAAATTAAGCTCTGGATCCTATAAAATTGGATCTAAAATTATTAAGGTACATTCAGTAGTCTTGCCTGTCTGCAGTATGAATTATAGTTTATTGTCATAGTCATGTGATCTTATATATAATGAAAGAAAATCATTGTATAGTAGTGATTAAGGTTTTGGACTAGAACTGTGGAAAGCCAGATTCAAATCCATCCTGAGCCATAGAAACTTACTGGTTGACTTGAATAAGTCACTATGCTTCTCTCTTGGCTCAACCTATCTCATAGGGTTGTTATGGTACTAAACTGATCAGTTTGCAAGAAGAATGGTGGGACATAAATCTAAATAATAGTAATAGAAGAATGTGGGTCAGGAGGTGAGGAAGTAATGTCCAGGACCAATGGGAAAGTCTCTGTCTACTGTACTTATCTTCAAATCATGTAGAAGGGAGTAGAATGTGTTGGAGGTTGTTGGGAATTGGAATGTGCTGTGTAGGGTGTAAGTAGTGTTTGGCTAGGAGGTGGGCTGAGTATGTTGCCAGATTGCTAACTCCATGCATAGTTTGGGTAGGAAAGACTTTTATATGGTGAGAATTGGGATGAAACCAGTCCTGGCCTTAGGTGAGCAGGATGGTTGGAATGGGGAGGGTATAGAATACATGTGCCATATACCAGTGTTTTCAGGCCAGGGGCAATATGGTGGAAGACACTGGGTTGACTATTTCAAAGGGCACATGATTTGTGGTAGTCTCTTTTTCCAACCCAGTAGCCCTATCCTGGGGACCTGATGGTCAAATTGTCAGGGTACTTGGCTTCATGGTGTTGCTGGTAAACAGCAGATCTGTCTGTAATAAAGCTGCATCCATTCATGATCTGGTGATGGATGGATAGGTAGATCTGGCATGCATTACTCAAATCTAGATGCATGATAGTAGCAATGCCCTTCTTTCATAAATTTGCCCGGCCAGGTTTTGGGTCCTGCATCAGCCTGAGTACCAGGGCCAGGGAGATGGGGTGGCATTGATATAATATATTGTCTGTGATCAGGATCATTGTTTTGAAGGTTGCAGGGTGTGACTGCCTTTGTGTTAGGTTGGGCCGTAGAGACAAACTAGGGGTCCTATTGCCATACCAGTTGCCCTGCTGCCCACCTGGATCCTTTCCAGGGTTCCTGGACCTGGTTGTTGGGCTGATGGTTGAGTTTCCTCTGCCTGTGGGTATTGGGGGATTTCAACCTCCATATAATGGGGGTTTGGAAAGCTCATGAGTTCCATAGCAACCATGGGTTTGTTCCAGGTAAACTCAGAACTGCACACATAGATGTCTATAAATTAGACCTAATTTTTGCTTTGGAGCAATTGTCTTGTGATCTGCATGTGGAAGGTATTACTATCCCCCCTTTGTCATAGTCAGACCATTTCCTTTGACTGTAGCTTGTGATATCCATAGTCAGATCCATTTGGATTGTCTGCCACAGGTGTTTTATGGATCTAAACAGTTTCCAGCATTGCTTTGGGATTTTCCCAACAACTGACTGGTGAATCCATCAATTGCCTCACCACTGGTAACAACAAGTGACTCAGGCCCTTGATGAATTTGTTCCTGAATGGCCTCACTCTGCTGGCTGATCCCAGGCAGCCCCTTGGTTTGTGATGGGCCTCTGGGAGATGAAGCAGCAGAAGCAATAGCTGCAGCGCAGGTGAAAGATGAATAGTGAAGCTTACTTAGCACAGGTAAGTGCTCAGGTTCAAGTCTTTCCCAGAGCAATAGGAGAAGCTCCTACTTACCTCTCATTGCATCAGCAGACTGTGGGATTGTGGCAGGATATAAATATAATAAATAAGTCTCTGCACAAATTCCTGTATCCAAGTATATGTTGTATAGATTTTAATGTTTATATTGCTAGGAAAAAAGAAAATACTCCTGGGAAAGAATTCATCTGAAGGCAATACTAAGGCAGTGACTCAGATTAAATGGAGATGTTATCAAAAATAGAAAAGGAAAAGCTTAAAATATATGGAATGTACAAAATGTCATTAGAGAGAAAAAGGCTTGTCCTGCAAAATAATAAAACATAACTAATTAGATTTTTAGGGTAGGCTGTAAACCTGAGGTTGGGAAGAATATTGTACAAATTCTTTGGGACTGAGAACTTTCAAACACTTTACTGCTGTGACATCTATATCAGTAAAAGCTGACATATTGGAAGAATTTAAGACAAGCACAGCAACATTCTTCATAGATCAAAGAAGGCCTTTTTTTCTGTGCTACATAACTTTGATAACTCCTTTCCTATAAAAAGAAGGAAATTTCATGAGGAAATAATCCTTTAATGTCATATAAAAATTAGATATCATTACATCATTGGGTTTTTCTGTTTTGCAAGTGGTGTCTTGTTCAGCAAATGGATTGTTGATTAGGCTATTTAAAAATAAACAGAATGCTATGATGCTTTGTAGAGATTACTGTATTTTTATTTCCACCACCACTGAATTTATTTTATTTTCAGATTGCATGGGCTTTAAACAAAGGGGTGAAAACTGAATACAAACAGTTTTGGGATGTGGATCTTGGAGTATCATATATACCCTGGGAAAAAGTTAAACTGGATGATTTAGATGGCTTTGCAGAAGGAGGAATGATTGACCAAGAAACAGTAAATAGTGGTAAGGACAGTTTAAAATGCTTTGTAATTAAAACTTTATTTTCATTTTTTCATATTTTGTTTCAGAGAAATGTGTTTCCAATAATCTAAATGTGCACACCAGCAAGATAATGGCAAGTGTTCTTGTTCTCAGGCTATTTAAGAGGTAGGCTGGCTGTTGGCAGTCAAGCTGAATCACAGTTCCAGTTTGTGATGTCTCTAGAAAATTTCTGTCTTCAACTAAGATATTTGCTGTACAAAAGAAACTTATTTACTAATTCAATAAATCTCATAGAATATATTACTTAAGATTTAGTATAGATCTATCCTTAGTTCAGAATTCTAGAGAATTTATAAATAGGAGAAATCAGTTGCTACTTACCAAATAATGCTTTGCCAGAAACTGAGGGGTTTGGTTTGGTTTGGTTTGGATATACAGAAAGAAACAAGAAAAAGATACAAAGAAAAGAAAAATATGACAAAAATATATTATCTAGAGCAGTAAAATACTCAGATCGAAATCCCCCAGAGTTGCTGTAGATCCAAATATTGCACATGTAATGATGCATATTAAAAACAGTGTAGTTTTTAAACACAGCATTAAAGCTCGACCAAACACAGTAATATTGATAAGTCTTTCTATTACACTGTTAAAGAACCAGAGCAAACATATTATTAATCCAAGGTTGTAAATCTAGGATAGCATTGACTCTCCATCATAAATGAGTAACCTTTTTTTGCTACTGTAGATATATTGAGTAGGAGTAACTTTATAAGACATGATTAGTACATTTGGGAAGATTCAGAAAATCGATTTTTCCCAGATGTTCAGAGATATCAGAGTGGTATAGAGAAACCACTGTGGTTTGGAGGTTCTGCTGCTTAATTAGCTATTTAATTGTAAATTTCAAGAGCTACAAAATACAACAATTTCTCTTTTGCTCTATGTGCTATTTCCAGACAGTTTTTCTGAATACATTTCCAATCTCCACTCACTGCAAAAATGTAGGTATCATGGCTAGTAGAGCAAATGCTTATTTTCTTCTAATATTCTTTTCAAAACACTGATCTGTTGCTGTTTCTTTAGAATGGGAAACTACAAGGAGTTCGGAGACTGTAAAAGAGAGTGTGCAGATAACCCAGAGTGCAACAGTTGACAAAACTGCAGCTGTCACAACACAGACAGAAACTTACACGCAGTCTGTCACTATGTTACAGGTTAGTATTGTATTTCATTTTCTGTCCACACTTTTCTTCCAGTAGGGAAGGACATTCAGATTATTGATTGGTTGACAACTCTACTTTGGTGTCAGATAGTAGTGTGTCATATCTTCTTATATCTTCTCAGTGGCAGTAATTTTTGCAACTTGTTGGGACTTTTTTTTTTCTTTTGTTGTGGACAACTCTCTGAAGTAAGTATGCACAAAACAGAAAATGTGTTGGTTTCACACATGGAACAAAGAACCCCATTCAGACATCTCAGAAACATTCCATGTTGGTTGCTTCCTAAGGAAGCTCTCAGCTAGTAAAGAATTATCCCAACAAGCAAAAGTAAGAGGCAGCAGGAGCTTGGGAATCATACCAGGGTAAGTTGCCTTAAAAGGACTGCTATGATTTCCTTCCCCCATATAGTAAGTCACTCAAAATTTAACATCTTTAAATTGACCCAGAGTGATTTTGGGAATTGATTGATAAATCTACTGTAAAGCAAGCATAGGAGAGAGAGAATTTGCAAAGAAAATGAAATGTGATTATCTGGAAATACTTCTCTTTTTTTGGAAGTTCATTTCTCTGTCAACTATTAAAAAGCTGGGGCTGAGCTTAAAAGACAGGAGTGCTACTACACTGAAAAGACAGAAGTGGTTGTACTTTGCCCTTCCTATCTGCTATTCTATGGCAACGTGCAAGCTATACATGTCCCAGCTTCCCATTTTTGTGGCCTCCAGAGCACCTCCTTGATCACATGGCTGAAATTCAAAGGCAAAATAGCCAAGAGTGATATTGAGAGTTGACAGATTTAGTCCAGAAAGTCCAATTTCCAGGGGTGCAATTTTGGAATTTCCTTATCCTCCTAAATAAGTGTGCAAATGAGTTTGTTAAGCCTCTGAGAAATAAAGCATTCATTTCTACCATTAGCCTCTTACTCCAATAATTGTTTCGACGATCAGATTGCTTTTGCGATTAAGTTGTTTTGCCTAATGTTCAACCAACATTTAATATCTTATAACAAAAGTTAATTAAATCTTCTACTGCCCTCTAGAAGAGAAAAAAAAATTGCATTCTTTTATAAGATGGCTTTGGCTTGTAGCTGTTAACAAGGCAAAAGATAAGCAGAACTATTTGCACAGGTATCCATAGAGAAAAATAATTGTTCCAACCCAGTCTGAAGTTCCTAATAGGCAATTAGATTACTTGAGCAGGGAAGTAAGTGTCAGGTCTGAGCAAAGGGATGAGTTTCTGGAAGGCCAGCAAGGCTTGACTTAAGATTTGGACTATTATATAAGGTTGGGTTCTCCTAAAATGTGTTCAGTTACTTGACTGATCTCAGGAAGAGGCTCTTAGAATGAAAACTCCCAGCCCTTATCTAAGCAGAGCCAGTGCTGGTCAGGCCTGATTGCTAAAGCTTGGCTTCTCAGAAATAACTACAAGTAAATCTCCTTCCCAAGATGCTTCTCCATACAGTCTGGATCTTCTCCACCTCCCTGCTGTTTGACCTCCAGCATGATAGCAACACTCTTGTGGGTTGTACAGTTAAAATTCCAGGTTAACGTCTAGAGAAAATGCAGTCAGGAGTATTGGTGTCTGTTTCTGTCTCATATTTCATGGTGGGACTCATTGATGAAATCAAGCCTGTCTGGTGTCTTATTACAGGTTGCTCCTTCCTCCCCCATGAACATCTGTTTGTTCATGGAAGAGAGAATCCTGCTTTAGACTGTTGGCTCCTAATAGATTTTCTGATGGTTCACTGACCTTTTGACGTGGCATGTTGTGGTATACAGTAGTTTGGGAAGGACATGTCAATCCTGCAGGGTTTCCAGATCAGGAAACAAATTCCACAAGAAGACTTATACTTTATTGATAAAGACTAGAATCTTGTAAGATTTACTGTTTTCTTTCCCTCTCTCTTGTACCTGAGGGAATCAGGGGGCAGCCAATCTGAATCTCTTTCTAATAATTTCCCTTTGCTTTGGGCTCAAAGCATGCTTATGTACTTGTTGTTGTCCTAATGATTTCTGGATAGTTTCTCCAAGATCATTTCCGTGGCACCCTGCAGGGTGATAAAAGGAATTCTGCTCATAAATACAAGAATTCACCTATTATAGATAGTACATTTTTTAAAATTTATGTTTTAGAAATATCCATCTACTTGTATCTACCATTGAGTTCAGTCAGATTTATTCTCAAATAATTGTGAAGAAGATTATAGTCTTATTTTATACAATAAATTCATATTGTTAATTAATAAATAAATTAACCTTACTAGAAAACAGTTTAAGGAACTAATTGTGTAGATTAACTTCAAATTATACATAGAACTAAGCTTATTTTACTAAGGAGGATTGTCAGTGTTGCTAACATTTCCATTTAACTTGGAAAAGTTTATATAGCATATTAGCAGAATGATAGAAGTTTCATTAAGTATAATTTTTCTCTTTAACTAACTTAATTGATAGAGGATCTACAGTATAGGCATATGCACAAAATGGGAAATATGTTTGAAGTTTGGAGCAAAACAACCCAGTTTGAAATCTTGCATAAGAATGTTCTCAATTGGTTATATTCTAATGCAACCGACCTCAAAACAGCTCAAGTGTTCCATATTGTGAAGGACAAAGTTCAACATGCTTAATATTTCATTCTAAAAAACAATTGGAACTTGAACAAGCCCCTTAGTCCCTAGTCCCTTTTTCATCCCAGGGTCATAAAAATAGGTGGAACAGTGGGGCAAACCTTTATAGGAATGCTAAAAAAAAGAAAAAGAAAAGACAATAACTTTACCTATGTGATGGAATGGAATTATGAAGGCCAGGCTCAGGGGGATAAGCATTTTCTTAGCTCGCCACG